AGCAACAAAGGGTAATTGGTGATTAGCTCCATTCCTACTGTAAGCTGAAGCCATCTCTACAGAATGAGACCTGATGATAGGCGAAAGAAATCAAAGCAAAAGAGTTAGATTCCCAAACACGATCTCAGCTCGGACACATTACAATAAACTGACTCTATATACGGAGTTTCAAACTTGTAAAAGAACCACAGCGGTCACCCTTATCTCACCAAATAGTATTGTTGTTCTGCAAGAACAAAGTGTGTTTTGAATAAATTAATAGGCATGATGTCAACTATATGGCCTCGCTATTAAAATGCCTTTCAGCAATCATGTTGTGAGAGTTTTTGCCGATATTGCGTTTATGGTTGAGTTTATACTGATCCTAAGTTCCGGAACAGTTCCACTATAGCGCTCAAAATGCATGCCCTGCTGGAACTGTTCCGCAACGTACGGATCAGTACAAACCCAGACTCAATTTCTAAGTCAAACGCCTATGGTACTGTACCTTCTCTCTTGATCCAATATATTGTTGATATTCACCAAAGTATATCTTGCATATGTATGTAGTCTAGCTTTAACTATATTCTGACTTTACAGTTTTGCATGGTCTTATGCAGACAACTCTGGTAGTGCGACTATGTCAGAGATTGAATACGTAATTTCCGTTATCTGTATAGCTATGACGTTCATCGTTTATATTATTGTATCACGATCAATCTATATGGTCAGTAAAGATAGCCTCTCATCTCCCCTTCTTAGCAAAACTCAAGACAAAAAGCTTATTCCTTCAGATGAGAAAAGGTACCATTACCGTTCGACCAAGAGAACTAAAACTACTTGCGCACGCAGCGATATTGTTTGTTACGCTCACATCGCTTATTACATGCTGGCACTACTACCAAGCATTCTTGCCTGATACAAAGTGGACATTGTTTTCAATCAATAATTACTGGATATTATATTGTGGAATGAATCCTATCCTGTGCATGATCTTTTCCAGGTTGGTCATTTAAATCCCATGAAGGACGGCTAAATGAAGTTGAAGAACCTTCACAGTTATTATTTTTAAGACAGTGTTTGGGGAAGATCATTGGGTGTTGTATCTACTTGAGGTAGTCATAGGTTAAAATAGATACAGTGAGGTGATAGGAAAGTAACGGAACAGCAGCTTAATTTTTTTCATGGGTTCTGTTTGATCTTCGGTCTCCATGCAGCAACTAAAACGTCATTAAGTGGATGACTTCGGTTGTCATTTTAGCAGATACCGCCGCTTTCTCAACTTCAAACGCCACTTTGAGAAATCGAACTTTTTAAGACTTGTCTAATAGTTAAGCTACTGTGCCGCAATTCGCTGAGCAAGTAGTATACCTTGAAAAAGCCCTAAGCTTTGGCAAATAATCTACCAGCGAATTCCCTTTCATCGGATAAAGAAGGCAAAAAACTTGAGAGTGTGCGGTTTTTGACAAACAAAAAACAAAAAATCACGCATCCTTCAATTTCCAAAGTTAAAAGAAATTGGATAGGTTGCGCATAAGTGGATAGAGCTCAAAAAGTCTTTCGTGTGGTAACATAAAAATGCGAATCCATATGTAAAAAAACTAACAAGAGTTCCCTTATTTGGAGCTGCTTATGACCATTCTCGACTCAAAGCTTTGGTACAGAAGCTGTGGTAGGTTTCGTGAGAGTTCCCTACCTAAATGTAGTACTATGCTTTGGGTGACTTCATTTTATTGCGAAGTTACTGCTAAAAATTCATAATTACTCAGAACGATTAACTTTGCCTTACAACGGTCATAAAACGCCCTGTATAGTTTTTTACACAAACGCGTACTTGTTCTGACATCTACCAAAATTTGAAATGATTTTTTCTTAAAAAACTACACGTTTCAGTGTCTGTTTACTTTCCGATCACTCTGATAAAAGGCCAGAATTAGCGTTCAGAAACCATTCCTATCAACTGCAAAACTCTGACGAACTAGTTCACTTGCAAATGCTATAAAGAGTAAATTTTTTTAACATCAAAAAAACTTATGCTAGTAACAAAGAACTTGTAATGCCCTATTGTAATTTACCATATCAGCTATCAGCTGCGTATTACTGAGAACATTCTTTGCAAAGTGAAGCGATATTTCCTCTTTTTTAGCGTATTGAAAGGGCTGCATATTTGTATAATTCGATAAATTGTCACTTACAGGATTAACATAATCAGGAACTGAGATCCTCAAAAACAAAAGCGCATGCACGCTCATTTCTTACTATTCATCTTTTGCCAATCTCTCATTAAGACTATAGCGCTTTGCATGCACTCACGACAGATTCTTAGAATTTTGCAATTTCCTTTTTTTACAAATGCTCTGGCAATCAGCACACTGAATCTATATAGTGATAGCAAGCGTACTTATAGCTTTCCGGAAATGATGATCAAGAGGGAAGAAGAAATTAACGTTTAATCAAAAAAATCTTTCTCTTTCACTGTTTTTTATTCTTAATGTCATCACATTTGCTATACTGCAAAGCGGCCATGCAGCAGCATACTTTATCGTGAAATAAGTCAATCTACGCTATTACCTTGAACAGTGTCTGTGCAGAGTCATCCAGCATTTGCCCTTTTCGAGCTTTACTTGCTTACCGAAGCTGGTATCGAAGTTTCTCAAAACTATGAGACATCTTCGCATCACCCAAAAAAAAATCCTTGACGAAAGTTTAGTGGCGACAGCACGTGGTCTTGAGAATTTGATACGGAAAATCTGAGACGAAAAAGTTATTTTTTACCGTATGGGTGCATGCAATCTTCCGTGGCAATCTTCTTAGCAATCTCTCAAACAAATCGTCATACCCCCGAATATTTTAGTTAGTCCCAACTTACTGCACAATCGATTGTGGAATGTGTTTCTGCATGTAAAATCGTGGCATTAAAAAATTTATAGATTTTTGGTGCGATATTTTTCCGTAATGAAATTGAACGCGTTTTTTGCAGAAAAATGCGCTTGTCGTGCTTACATCCCTTACGTCGCCAAAAAACTTCGCTCACTCGAGTGACTGCTACCCGTCTCTCATAGGGCATGCGATGGCTGCAGTCTCAGTAATCATCATGGCAAAGTAGCAATAATCCTCATCAAACAAGCAGAGTCGGTTTAAGAGCAATTTTTAGGAGCCTACGTGCATCATTCAAGCGTGCTCTTGGAGTACAAGTGACACGCAAGAAGGCTTTTGGGACGACATCCGTGATTGCAATTACTGCTTAATTCTGTTGGAGCTTCTTAGAAGTTCTGTTGGTGATAGATTAAGTGAAACTGTTTGTTAACGTGTATTGTATTCATATAAGATTTATTGCAATAAAAGATTATCTACCATCTTAGTACAAAGCAACTAGAAGGAGGTAGCTAGGGAAGCGCAAAGTGCTTGATATGACTGAGTGCCTCATTTTGCCTGTAAACTGCGAAGATAGTACTTGTCATTTTACAAAAAACTGAACATCACATTTTCAAACTAGAAAAAGACTATATCGAGTTTTTTTTAACCAGACGGCGTAGAAGGTAAACAGAGTGTTCCAAGGTATGTATATTATTAGAATCATCATTCCAAAAGTTTTTGTATGAAACGTATTCGTTTCATGACAAGCACACAACAACAAAGGTGTGATTAAGCTGCTGGGTATCACTGATCAAGATTTCTATCCACTCGTTTGGCATAGTTCCTCACAAAATTGACGGCTTTTTGAATAGATGAATGAAGTGCAACTCAAAAGATTTTGTGTCCTTTTGTACCCCACTGATGCTATACTCACCTTCACGAACTCAAAATTGGCGGAGATAAGCTAGGTAAGAATACGTTTCCGCCTTGTAACAGTATCTCAGATTTGCTTGAAGCCACCGTCAAGGAACAGTATCTTAGAGCTTGAAGCCACCGTCAACTCTGAGTAGTCAGGATCTTGTGCTGTACAGCATACGATGATAGAATCTCCTCTCACGGAACATTTGTAACTGAAGAGAGCGCAAAAAAAGAATAAGTGCTCATCTGAGGTCATATTCGCTACAGGTGCGCCAAAATAACCGCCGCGTATTTGCCTGCGTACCATAGGAGGACAAAATGGACTTGGCGAGTTTTCACCACCCATTATTAACTTAATGCGCTAGTCAAATCAAAATTCAGTTGCTTCATCTTTTGAAAAAATCTCAAATCCTTCCATCAGCTGAAGTTCATACGCAGGCACAACTTATGGCCGCATGCATTAACGTCCCCGTCGGGGAGTAGAGCGGAGCCTACAAAGAAAGCTTCATATCCTAAAGCTCCGAACTTCTGGATTTCACACTGTCTACCCATCCGTAAGCATTCCTTACACCTTTTACTATAAACATACTGAACAGAGATAAGAAGCTGTACAAGCCGCATTTTCCAGCTTTTTGTATGATCCCCTGATGGTCTCTGGTAATCGAACGTCTTTTCTTTAAACTTATTTTTCTTTCTTCAAAGCTAACAAAACCTTTCAAAATTGTGCTGTTCGTCTAGCCCAACAGTGCTAAGCATGTTGTTGACAAGAACAGATAATGTTTTAGAGCATGAAATTTGCGATGAACCACAAGTCGAATGTTGGGGTTTATCGAAAAATTCAATTTTCCAAAAACTCATCTGTTCTTATCAGCAACATGTCCAGCGCTGTTGTGTTAGATGTTCACTACAACTTTGGAAGGTTTTCGTTGACTTCGAAGAAAGAAAAGTGATTCTGAAGAAAAGACGGCCGCCGGGATCATCATGGGGTCATACAAGATGCTGGAAAAGCGGCTTGTACAGCTTCTCGCTCCTGTTCTATATGTCCATAGTGAAGAATGGTAGGAATAACCATAGATAGGTAGACAGCGCGAAATCCAGATATCTGGAGGCTCCCCTCCTCAACGGGAATGTTAATGCATGCGGCAGTATTTACAAAATATCTTTCTTGTAAACGTTTTCTCTTGCTTTGAATCTACGCTGTAAATTAGAGCAGACCTTTGCCTCTGAACATAGTTAAGTACGGAAATTTGAAAGTAATCAAAAAAAGTCTTCAACTTTTCACAAGTCCTCCAGGGTGCTCACGAAAATAAAAAAAATCTAAATAAATTTCAAAAACTTTTTTCGAAGTTAGCCAAAACAGATACCTTTCTATTGTTTCATAAATAAATAAATGTTGTTTTATTTGGTAGGTTTTGCATATCTGGAGTCTCAGAATCGATTTAGCGTAAGCTCGTTGCTTGTGTTTTTCTACATATCGTATTAAGTTAAAAAAAACAGTTTTTTACAAATACAACTGAAACTATGTGATACACAGAATGGACACTACAACCTCAGTTTAGGATGGTTTAGAAAGGCTTTGATTTTATCCAGTTTTAAAAATACGAAGGCAGAATAAGAATTCCATTTTTGCTTCCTCTAAAACTGTTAATCTTATTCCTTTCGTTATCAAATATTGTAGAATATGAGGAGAGGTCTTTCAAATTCGGCCAAGTGCCTTCTGTAGAGCTTGACTTGGGCATTCTACGATATGAACTTGAGCCTATGTATCCAGGGTTTCGTCTGTGGTAGTGGTACAAATATCGACGCCGGTAATTTTGGCGCACCCTGTAGTAATAAAGCTGCATTGGGTTTGTGATCCATTGAGCATTTGAACAAACGTTACAAGTGGTGTGTTCAAGTCCAGCCGTTTTCCAAGGCAGTGTACTTATTAGGTTGATGCATAATTCTTGCACCAAAATTTTGAAAATTCTGTTACTGCATTCATCTGCGATGAAATTTTCTGGTTCGATACATAGGGAGAGCAAATCTTGCGTTTTCTGGTGGCGCTCGAGCCAAAAGTTCTTGAGGGCATATGGCAACGATATAAGGTGAATAAGAGAAATACCCAAAAAGTGATTTTTTCGATTTTTAGGCACTAAAATTGCTAAAACGTCTACTAGAATTTAAATTCATTTTTGGTGCAAGTTTTATGGCATGCTCTTTTTAACTAAGAGAAGTTGGTAGTGATTGGATGTCTCTGCGAATATTTACGAATTTCGATTTTTTTGAAATGACTTATCGATTTTGTTTCAAATTGATCTTCTAAAATGTACTATAAAATACTAATCTTGATATACATAACATACAGCAAAACATGTAAGTTGAATAGTTTGTTTAAGCATTTTCAAAATAATTTTTTTATTTTTTGGTGCAAGAATTGTGCATCAACATAATATTCGGTTGGTCGGAAAGTTCGTTCGCACCATTTTTCAAAAAATAATAACTTCCTTCCCTCATAATGATTTTGCACATTTCAAATTTTATGAGAAAGCGTAAAGTTTGTTTTTGTAGTTTCAAAACTCCCCTGGGGACTTTCCAACTTGCTTAGGTTGCAGAGGTAAAAATGAAAGAACGAGATCATCCGAAATTCGGAATTTTTGAGCAAAAATTCTAGAAATTTAGAAACTGCGCGAAAAAATCCAGAACAGCCATCATCCTAAGATTTCCTATATTTTAGTACTATCTGAGTTAAGTTTGTGCTGGTCGAGCTCTTCTTTCAAAAGTTATGATTTTTTGAAAAAAAAATTCCGAAAAATCGATTTCTTAAGAATTCTTAAAAATTCCGAATTTCGGATGATCTCGTTCTTTCATTTTTATTTCTGCAACCTAAGCATATTGGAAAGTCCCCAGAAGAATTTTGGAAACTACATGCTTTACGCTTTCTAATAAAATTTGAAATGCGCACAATCATTGTGAGGGAAGGAAGTTATGATTTATGATTTATTTGCCTTTCATATTATTACAATATGAGGCACCCAAACAAACTGATCTCTTTTAACGTGAGTGATCTTACTCTTTGCCAATTGCCATTGCCAAGCTTCTTCTTTCTCTCCATCTCGTTAGGGCCAGTATATTGAGTTGTGTTATCTTCAGGGCTTCTTGCAGTTCATGTTGGTCATCGTTAGGCAGGCGTCTCACGTTGAATTCGATGTGTGAACAGTCGTTGTTGGGGTGGAACATACTTGATCCTGCTGTTCCGGGGCTTCCTGGACCAAGGGGTTCGACGTCCGGTAGGGTGGGGAAGAGCGGTCAAAATGACCGACCAGTCGAGGGACGTGTAGAAGATGAACTCCCAGGAAATCATAACTCCCAGGAAGTTATGATTATTTGAAAATGGTGCGAACGAACTGGATCAACCTAAAATCAGGTTGGTTCATAATTAATGCACGTTTTTCCTACCTCTTCTTTGAAACGCTAGTTTTCAATCAAAAATCGTTTCTTTATAAAGCCTTCTATACTATCGGGAAGCCCTTATGTTCTAGTTCATGATATATGCTTTCGTTTTCGGAGATCTTTGTTCAAAGCGAAGTTCCGTAACTTCAAAGGTGAGGTGCTAAAATTTGAAATTTCTAAAAAATATGTGTTATAGTTGCGAAGATTTATGCTACAAAATGCTTACCAAGGCTAAATTTTTCAGAAATTTGAGCCGAGAAGCTTTGACTAAATTTAGCTAATTGCTGGGATTACTCCGAGTTCTATAAAAAGCTTAGGTGAGAAGCATTTGCAAATCAACTTTCACTTCGCTATGGTAGAGTAAACCAAGGACTACTAATGATAAAAAAAAACGGCAGAATCTCCTCTTTTTTCAAATGAGAAAAAAATCGGAGGAATCTAAAAAATGCAGTTTTTTGCCTTCTCCAACATGCAGAAAAAAATGGTTCTTTTGCTTTGTTGGCGAAATTTTTTTCGCAGAAAATTTTGGTAAAATCCAAGTTCCACATTAATATTGAAATAATAAATATTGAATCGACCATCAGCTATACAATGAGCAAACTTGGCTCCATTCTAGTGCTTTTGAGAATGAGTTATGCTCTTCCAAACCAGAGCTTTCCAGAAAAAATTCTCGGTAATTTTTGGGCCGGAAAATCTTTCCCATGGTGTGTACAATCACATGAAATTATAGGTTTTATAGCTGGAGGTTTGCTGTTTATAACAGTTTTTTATGCACTCAAAAAGATTGTTTTGGAAAAGAATTATCCTCATTAGAAGTGGAAGTTAAGAAAACGTGCATTAATTATGAACCAACCTA